CTCCCTCGACGACCACTCCGACTTCGCCAACCGCCTCCGCCTCTCCCAGCAGTGCCTCGACTCCATCTCCGCCCGCCTCCCCTCCCCCACGCCGCCTCGCGCACGGTCTCCCCTGCCCCCGCCGCCGCCACGCGTACAGTCTCCCCTGCCCCCGCCGCCACGGGAGCCGTATCCCCTGCCTCCGCCCCCTCCTCCGCCCAGAGCGCGCGCCAGCCCGGCGCGGGCCTCGTCCCCGGCCGCCGGCACCTCGGGGAGGAAGCGGCCGCGCGGGGTCCCGGGCGCGGAGATGGTGCGCGCCAGAGCCACGGCGCAGGCGGACATGCTGGAGGTGCGCAACATGGTGCGCCGCGCGCGGCTCATCTTCGAGGCGCTCCGTGGCCGCTTCCACCGCAACTCCGAGCACCACCACGCGGGCCGCAACCGGGCCGACATGCGGGCCCTCAGCGCCATGATCGACGGGGAGCTCTGCCTCTAACGCGACGTGCGCATCGTGGGCCCCGTCCCCGGCGTCCTCGTCGGCGACGCCTTCAACTACCGCGCCGAGCTCCTCGTCGTCGGCCTGCACTGCCACACCCAGGCCGGCATCGGCTACGTGCCCGCCAGCAAGCTCGACGAGGGCCACCCGGTCGCCACGAGCATCGTGTCCTCCGGCGGGTACCTCGACGATCACGACAACGGGGACGTCTTGATGTACACGGGGAGCGGCGGCCGTCCGCGCAACGGCGGTGACCACCTCTCCGACCAGGAGTTCCAGCGCGGCAACCTCGCCCTCGTCTACAGCTGCAAGTACGACGTCGAGGTGCGCGTCATCCGCTGCCATGACTGTGACGCCAGCCCCAGCGGCAAGCTCTACGTCTACGATGGCCTCTACAAGGTCGAGTCCTTCGCCTACGGCCCCGGCAAGTCCGGCCACGAGGTCTGCCAGTTCAAGCTCGTGCGCCTGCCAGGCCAGGACGCGCTCGGCAGCAACACCTGGCGCTCCGCCAGAGACCTCACCGACGCGCTCGTCGCCAAGATCCGGCCGCCCGGCTACCTCACGATGGACATGTCCAAGGGCAAGGAGGCTGTGCCCGTCCCCGTCCGCAACACGGTGGACCACGACGTCTCTCCCCTCGAGTTCGTGTACCTCGCACGCCCAGAGTTCCGGGCGCCGCCCAAATCTGTGAGTCGCGTCCACAAGTGCTGCATCTACTCCAAGACGGCGTGCAGCGAGATGTCGTCCAAGTGCGCGGCGTCCGGCTGCGCCTGCGTGAAGAGGAGCGGCGGGGGCGGCCCGGCGTACAGTGCCGACGGCACGCTCGTGAGGGGACGGCCGGTGGTGTACGAGTGCGGCGCGAGGTGCGGGTGCCCACCCGGGAGCTGCCCCAACCGGGTGACGCAGCGGGGGATGAAGCACCGGCTGGAGGTGTTCCGGTCCAAGGAGACGGAGTGGGGCGTGAGGACGCTGGACCTGATCCAGCCGGGCGCCTTCCTCTGCGAGTTCACGGGGGACGTGCTCCCCGCGGATCAGTCCCGCATTGCCAACGCGGATGCAAATGCCAGGACCGGCGCGTCGACGGAGGAGTGGGGAGGCATCGTCGACCCGAGGAAGTTCCCGCCGAGGTGGAGGGAGTGGGGGGACGCCCCCGCGGCCGTGCTTCCGGACGACGGCGAGAAACCACCCCGGTTCGCGCAGTGCCCGACGCCGGGGTACGTGATCGACGTGTCCACGAGGAGGAACTTCGCGGCCTACATCAGCCACAGCGGCGCACCGAACGCGTTCGTCCAGCTGGTGGTCCGCGGCGACGAGGACGAGTCGTACCCCCACCTGATGGTGTTCGCCATGGAAACCATCCCACCCATGCGCGAGCTCAGCATCGACTACGGCGTCGATCAGTGATCGATCGGCAACGTTTCCTATAGTATGTGCGTTGTTCTGCCATTTACTATAGTACATTTTACATTTGCCATGAATCGTTCTGTCATTGTTGTCAGTTGTAGCATGGATGAAAGCGAGCCACCTCTCGCTGAGCTGTATGCTTTGCTTTCCTTTTCTGTGTCTGTAAATTTTCTCAGTCTCAGTCAATTGTTCACATCCAACTTGTCCTGAGTTAAGGACTTCAAAAATGATAACTATCCCGAGTTAAATTCCAGACACTTACTTTAGAACAGTTCCACTCAATTCCAACATCCAGTCCGAGCAAAGGCAGCAGTTAGGAAGTTTTTTTTAACATTATAAACTTTATTCCTCAAACAATTGCCATATCGTTTACAATGTGGGAAAGAATAAAGTCGGGGATAGTAGAGTCACAGAGTTCAGACAAATTAGAAACAACAAAAAGTTTAGCTAAGCTATCAGCAAAAGGGCAGCCCCAGTGCATGTAGCTCCCGCTTGCGCAGGGTCTGGGGAAGGGTCCGACCACTTTGGGTCTATTGTACGCAGCCTTTTCCTACATTTCTGCAAGAGGCTGTTTCCAGGACTTGAACCCGTGACCTCATGGTCACAAGGCAGCAGCTTTACCACTGCGCCAAGGCTCCCCTTCTTAGCTAAGCTATCAGCAACCACATTAATTTCCCTACAACAATAACTATAGTCAATATTGGCGAAATCCGTAGTGAGATGGATACATTCAGCTATTACTGCCACATCAGGACCCATATATTCATCTGCTCGTGTAACAGCTTCTACCGCAAGTATGCTATCTCATTCGATGTATACCTTATTGCATCCAATTCTCCATGCTAGGTATAGGCCATTCCGAATAGCACTCAATTCTGCTGATTCTGCACTGCAAACATGGGGTTCAGAACCCAAGTTGCTGCCAAAATAAAATTTTCTTTATGGTCTCTCGCCACCGCTCCACTGGATCCTGAGAGTGTTTCCTGACAAAACGATGCATCCACATTAATCTTAACAGTGCCTTCGATCGGTTTCTTCCATGTATGAATCTCTTTTCAAACTGGATGTTTTGGTGTTGCAGCTCTGACAAAGTTTGTTGCCAAAACTTTGATTGAAACAACCGAGCGATCAGGCTCCTGTATCATCTCTCCTTTGCCTACTTGGAGCCGCTGCCACCCTACGAACCACATAGCAATCAGGATTAGTTCAGCTGTGGGATGTCACCAATGGATGAGCGATTTTTCAGCAGGATTTCAAAAGTAACTGATCCCAACCTGCCTTGCGCTACTGCCTCATCTATAGCAGTTTTTAGCCCAAGCTTGGCCCAAACCTTGCGCGCCCAAGGACAGCAGAAAAGAACATGTTGAATGTCATCAGTCCCTGTATTGCAAACTGGACATTGTGGAAGGACTGGAGGGTGTCTTCCGGCTAAGACTCCAAGGCATGGTAGTACAGCCCTAAGCACCTTCCACCGAAGTGTTTTATTTTCCCTGGAGTGCGTAGTTGCCCAAGTTGTTTCCATATGGAGTTCAATTGAACGCTACCATGTCCGTCCGACCTTACTATTTGGCTCCCAAACTGATGGTTAAACTTGCGCCGCACCGAACCGAGAAGGTTCCTAACTTCGTATACTGCCACGCCACAAAATCTTCCACGGCCTCCATTCAAAGGCGGAATTTGAATTATTCTAGCAACATCAACCGGTGAAAAGATAGACCTAATAAGGTCCAGATCCCACTGTCTCGTGTGAGGGTCTATAATTTCCTTTACTAGTGTTAACATTGTCCCTGCTCTAGGTGTTATAACCTTTCTTGATGCACTAGAAGGAATCCAAGGATCATCTCAAATATTTATTTGCGAGCCCGTTCCAACTCGCAACATACAACCTCTCTTGAAAGTCTGAATTCGAGCCACAATACTTTGCCAAATAAATGACGACCCGTTCTTCGGTCCAACTTTTAATATATCACCATTGGGGTAATATTTAGCACTTAATACACGTGCACACAATGAGTCCAGATTTTGGAGAAGACGCAACCACTGCTTTGATAACATAGCAAGATTAAAGCTATGAAGATCCCTGAACCCCAATCCACCCTTCTTCTTTAGTACACACAATTTCCACCACGTGAACCAATGTATTTTCTTCTTCTCTTCTCCCCCACCCCACCCCAAATGCTGATAATTCATTAGTAATTGATTTACAAATTCCTTTTGGTAATTTAAATAATGACATTGCATAGGAAGGAATAGCTTGTGATATAGCTTTCAATAAAATTTCTTTTCCTTGCATTGAAAGAACTTTTTCTTTCCAACCTTTAAGCCTCTGGCCAACTCGTTTAGTAAGACGTTGGAAGTAGTCACTCCATTCAACTCTAACAATTGTTGGTAAACCCAAATATTTATCTAATAATGCTTCTGTCAAAATATTCAGGTCCCTACACACATCTTCCCTGACTCGAACACTTGTATTAGGACTAAAGAAGACACTGGATTTTTCCATACTTATTCATTGTCCTAAACTGTCACAATATGTGTCAAGGATTCTTCTGAGTGTATTTGTGTTATAGGCATCAACTCTCATCAGAATAAGGGAAATGGCAAATAGAGGGTGCATTTATACACACACGAATGCCCTCAATCCCACCTATCTCCTCCTCATGAGCCAGCATGCCGGATAACCCTTCCGAGCAGAGGAGAAAAAGATAGGGGGACAGTGGGTCCCCCTGCTGCAGACCTCTAGTTCGTGTGAATTCGTCAGTCTCTGTATCATTAAACCTGATTTTGTAAGTAACAGACGAGACAGACTCCATAATCATGTCCACCTACTGTGCATGGAACCCTAGCTTTTTCGTCAACTGCCGCAAGAACCCCCATTCCACCCTGTCATATGCTTTTAGCATATCTAGCTTAACAACAGAGTATCCATTAGCCCCATGAGTCTATTGGGGAACGTAGTAATTCAAAAAAATTCCTACGATCACGCAAGATCTATCTAGGAGATGCATAGCAACGAGACGGGAGAGTGTGTCCATGTACCCTCGTAGACCGAAAGCGGAAGCGTTTAGTAACGCGGTTGATGTAGTCGAACTTCTTCATGATTCGACCGATCCAAGTACCGAACATACGGCACCTCCATGTTCAGCATGATGACGTGCCTCGAGCTCTTGATCCAGTTGAGTACGAGGGAGAGTTTCGTCAGCACGACGGCGTGGCGACAGTGTTGATGATGTTACCGGCACAAGGCTTCGCATAAGCACTACGACGATATGGCCGAGGTGTTAAACTGTGGAGGGGTTCACCGCACACGGCTAAGAGATTGTCTGTTGTGCTTTGGGGTGCCCCCTGCCCCATATATAAAGGAGGGAGGGAGGACGCCGGCAGCCAGGAGGGGCGCGCGCCACAGGGGAGTCCAACTAGGATTCCCAATCCTAGTTGGAGTCCCCTTCCTTTCCAAGAGGGGGAGAGAGGGAAGGAGTAGGAGAGGGAGAAGGAAAGAGGGGGGGGGGGGCGCCACCCCCTCCCTAGTCCAATTCAGACCTGCCATGGGGGGCGGCACGGCCACCCTGCGGCCCTCCTCTCCTTTCCACTAAAGCCCATAAAGGCCCACTACTTCCCTGGGTGGTTCCGGTAACCTCCCGGTACTCCGAAAAATGCTCGAACCTATCCGAAACCTTTCCGGTGTCCGAGCATAACCTTCCAATATATCAATCTTTATGTCTCGACCATTTTGAGACTCCTCGTCATGTCCGTGATCTCATCCGGGACTCCAAACAAACTTTGGTCATAAAAAACAGATAACTCTTAATACAAATCGTCATCGAACGTTAAGCGTGCGGACCCTACGGGTTCGAGAACTATGTAGAGATGATCGAGACACATCTCCGATCAATAACCAATAGCGGAACCTGGATGCTCATATTGGCTCCTACATATTCTATGAAGATCTTTATCTATCAAACCGTACAACAACATATGTTGTTCCCCTTGTCGTCGGTATGTTATTTGCCCGAGATTCGATTGTCGGTATCATCATACCTAGTTCAATCTCGTTACCGGAAAGTCTCTTTACTCGTTCCATAATGCTTCATCCCGTAACTAACTCATTAGTCATATTGCTTGAAGGCTTATAGTGATGAGCATTACCGAGAGGGCCCAGAGATACCTCTCCGATACACGGAGTGACAAATCCTATTCTTGATCTATGCCAACCCAACAAACACCTTCGGAGACACCTGTAGAGCATGTTTATAGTCACCCAGTTGCGTTGTGACGTTTTATAGCACAGAAGGTGTTCCTCCGGTATTCGGGAGTTGCATAATCTCATAGTCGAAGGAACATGTATAAGTCATGAAGAAAGCAGTAGCAATGAAACTGTAACGATCATAATGCTAAGCTAACGGATGGGTCTTGTCCATCACATCATTCTCCTAATGATGTGATCCCATTGATCAAATGACAACACATGTCTATGGTTAGGGAAACATAACCATCTTTGATTAATGAGCTAGTTAAGTAGAGGCATACTAGGGACACTATGTATTGTCTATGTATTCACACACATGTACTAAGTTTCCGGTTAATACAAATATAGCATGAATAATAAACACTTATCTTGATCTAAGGAAATATAAATAACAACTTCATTATTGCCTCTAGGGCATATTTCCTTCAGTCTCCCACTTGAACTAGAGTCAATAATCTAGATTACAAAGTAATGATTCTAACACTCATGGAGTCTTGGTGCTGATCATGTTTTGCTCGTGAAAGAGGCTTAGTCAACGGGTTTGCAACATTCAGATCCGTATGTATTTTGCCAATCTCTATGTCTCCCTCCGCGACTTGATGCCGGATGGAATTGAAGCGTCTCTTGATGTGTTTGGTTCTCTTGTAAAATATGGATTCCTTTGCCAAGGCAATTGCACCAGTATTTTCATAAAAGATTTTCATTGGACCCGATGCACTAGGTATTACACCTAGATCGGATATGAACTCCTTCA